GGTCAAACATCCATGTTTTGGCAAATACTGCGAACTCTGCCGAGGAGAACTGTGGACCATTATCCGTCACCAGCGTGTCTGGTATCCCGAACCGCGCAAAGATGGCCTTCAGCTCTTTGATGACTGTACGAGAGGTGGTGGATGTAACACGGGATACTTCAATGTAGTTGCTGTAGTAGTCACTCACTACCAGAAAGGTTCTGCTATCAAACTCACAGAGATCTGCTGCGACCTTTGCCCAGGGCCGAGCTATGAATTCRTGTTGAAGGAGTRGTTCCCTCGCTTGGTTRTTGCGATGAGCTAGGCATACATCACACTTGGAGATGTATTCTTTTAGATCTGTTGTCATCCGTGGCCAGTATAGCGTGTCTCTTGCTCTGCGTATACAAGCTTCTAGGCCAATGTGGGTTGCATGGGTCTTGTTCATCAGTTCCTTCCTCAGCACTGTGGGGACAACAAGTAAGGGGCCTTTAAAGATCAATTCGTCTTGTACCGCTAGTTCCCCACGTACATCAAAGTAGGGCCGTATACATTCTGGGACTTCGGCTTTGGTTTCTGGCCAACCACGTACTATGGTCTCACGAAGTTTCTGCTGCACCACATCGTCAGCCGCKGCGTTTTTTAGTTGCTGCCAGCGTTCCTCTGTCACGGGAAGGTAGGCGCGATGGTCTATTGCTTCTAGTTCCCTTGTGAAGTCACATGCATTAACTTCCGGTAGGTATGCTCGGCTGAGCGTGTCGGCAAGTACCAGCTCCTTGCCCTTCTTGTATTTTACTGCGAGTTGGTACTTCTGGAGCTGCAGGAGCATCCTTTGTAAACGCTTGGGGGCACTATCCAGTGACTTGGTGAAGATAGGCTCCAGCGGTTTGTGGTCTGTTTGAATGTTCACCTGTTGACGACCGTACACGTATGCGTCAAAACGCTTGCACGCAAACACRATAGCCAGTAGCTCCTTTTCTATTTGTGCGTAACGTGTCTCAGCRGGTGTCAGGGCTCTTGAAGCATAGGCCACTGGCTGACCATTCTGCATCAATACTGCTCCCAGTCCTGATTGCGAAGCATCACACTGTAGAGTCACCTCCTCATTTAGATTATAGTAACGCAGTACTGGCGTGTTTGTGACTGCGTCTTTGAGTTTATCCAAAGCCTTTTTCTGGGCCTCTCCCCAGGTCCATTCTACATCGTCCTGCATTAAGTCCCTTAGCGGCTTGGTGATGTC